GGTCTGTCCTGCGGAGGAATTTGATTTTTGCATCCCCGGGGCAGGACAGTATTTGCGGTAAGAACATCCCTCCCAAAAATCGTGTGGCTTCCCGGGTGGGAACGTCCTATTCGCGAATGGGATGTCCCAGGTTCGCAGCAATGCAGGCAGAACTCCAAGTATTGGCAGATCAAAAAGTCTGGGATGTAGTGCCTACACCACCAAACCGCAACATCGTCGGCTCCAAATGGGTGTATAAAATAAAATGGGATGCTGCTGGCAATATTAGCCACTAGTTATAAGGCAAGGCTAGTAGCACAAGGCTTTTTCTCAACAACCTAGTATGGATTTCGATGAGGTTTTTACCCAACTGGTCACTCCGGTTACTTATCGCTATATCCATATACTCAAACTGGCCTAAGCCTGATCAACTAGATATCAAAGGCGCATTCCTGGATGGCTACCTCAACGAAGAAGTGATACCTACATGCATCTTCCTCCAGGTCATCAACATAACCAATCTCAACCTAATTAACCTGACTTCGGCGCTTGGCTAAAAAGATCTATATATGGACTTAAGCAAAGTTGGGGAGCCATCAAACAGCTACTTCTACTGTCGAGGCAGAAAATGTCGCTCTGTCAATAACCGCCAAGCACCATATATGGCTATAGCTTTCCTTGGATGAGCTCAGAATAACTAAGCCAGATGCCTTAAGCACTGACAATGATGTGTATCGATCTGACTTCTAATCCTCGAATCAGTAATTACTAATAAAAGCAAGCACATCATGTGGCGTATCACCATGTACGAAATCTAGTTGGAGTCTAACTGTTCTATACATTCCGAGCCATGACAACTTAGCCGATTTATCTACTTAACCACTACCACGTCCACGATTCTCTATGTTAAGAGAAATCGTCCTAGGCAAGACATGAATTGGGCACAATGCATAAATCAAATTCTACTCATTTACCTATACATTTATTTTCCATTATTTTCATGGTTTTTTATACGTTTTTAATGAGGCTGACTTACAATGACCCACATGCATCCACATACTCCACATATATGTCCTCCATATGACAGTTCATATGAACTCATATCTTTAGATGTTTGTCCATACATGTATATATAGCTTATGTATCTCCCGGGATATCCTATCCAGATCACGCAGTTCAATACATAGCTACTATTCTCTTCATTTCCGTCACTGTTCACTCAGCTACCTAGTTATTCGCTTCCTTCACCAGGACTCACAGCTCTACTCACTCGCCTATTTCCATACTAGCCATAGTGTGGGTACATCTGTCTGCTCGTCCATACCTAACTATTCCTTAACCCTGCAGATATAAGCTCGCTTCGGAGGGGATGGGTGTACGGCAGTGAAAAGAACAGAAGCTCAAATTAGAACCTCTCACAATTGAGGATATACTAAAGCTGTATGAACGACTCTAGTTGTGATGTCAGTTTGGTCTCATTATGTACTCCGCTATTCCGGTGACGTTGCTGCTTTGGATGTGGCTTACGCCTCATCGTCCATCGGCATGACCTTGTATCCGTGCGCAAGAGCTTGCAAATGAAGACCGGCTTCCCTGCCAGTGATACATAGATTGAGGTATGTATCTCTTGTACCAGTCAACGCAGTATTATCTGGTACTTGCCTTCGTATAATTTTGTCCCGCATAAACCCGGACTAGTTGTATCGATAGTGATTGGGTGAATAAACGCAATGGGAAGAGAGATTTGATTCATCCAGGATTGCAGTCCTCAATTTCCTCCAATGGAGAGCCCACAAGTAGCATGGGTCGGATTGTGTAGAACTCATCTCGGTATATCCAGGTTAACGAACTGTGCGGTACTGTGAACAGTAAGAACTTAGTACAGAAAATACCCGACAATGCCCAATAAACACTCTCAAGATTAAACAATAGTTCGAGAACTTCAACTGTATGCGTCCTTAATCCCATACCAATCGAGCCCAAAAGCATGGCATAGGTATGCTGGGCACGTGCCGACATATCCAAAAGCGCCCAATGTAAGTTTAGGCTTAGCGCACTCCGTTCCGGGAATCCCCTGGAATGAAAATTCCCACCGTTCTTCCGATCAACGCCTCAGGGATGTGTGTGCGTATGAACCAGGATGGCCTTTGGAATGGGTATGCGTAACCTCGTCTGTGAGAAGGCAGGGAGTCTTCATGCAGCAAGAATTTTTTCGACATAGATAGCCAGAATAGTGGGGACACAATTTATTACAGATATTCTGTGGTTTTGTCCTCTGTCGAATGCCAGCACTCAGCTAGTCAAACTGTCAGCTAAGGGGTTTAATGTTAGGGATTAATCCTCAAGCCCACACATGAAAGTAACCAGAAACCATTTCAGATGAAAATTCTCCTCGGTGATATTAGTTTGCACATTGTGATCCGGCTCATCCGCTGACAGGTGGAACATTTTCGTGCGATTCCATGAGAAAAGCTTGTGTGTGCCACTCCCGCAATTTGGTTGGCACGGGTAGCCGCACGGGTAGATGTTGCGGAGATGGGGCTGTTCCCATTGCGGGCATGTTATTCTCATTTCTGAAGCGCGGCCTATGTATGTCCCGGTTAGAAGTTAGAGAATGAGTTAAAACCCGTTTCATGGCGAGCACTGGTTCTGAAGGCAATAGTTTCTTCTCTCGTAGTAATTCCGGTTCAGACAAGTAGACAGAACAGAATGCTTTGGGGATTTTTGTTAGGATCTGAGAAACAGCGGAATCTGAACTACCAACCTTCTGGACTGTCCACCAGCTTTATATAACGTTACCCCTGTCCACAGCCAAGCACCAACAACTAACCACATGAAGCAACTTCTGACCACACTTCCCAATGTTAATGTTACCCTAACCAGACTATAACTTATGGCGAAGCAGCTTCGCTTACATAGAATAACCACTGGAAGGAAATTTTTCGAGCTTGGCAGCAACCACAACTTTGGAAACATTTAATAGGTAATGGGCTTGGCAGCATATGTTACAATATCTATGGCCTATGCACATGGATAGTCTCAGCATCACTACGACTTAGGATATTCCCAAAGCAATCTACCTTTTACAACTATCCTCATCATTTTATAAAACTTGAACCCTACATCCTCACCACCAATATCAGGAGCTAGTCTCCCTTACTGGATTTCATAAAAAAGCTAAGAACAGCTAGATGGCAAAATTTCCTACCCCTCTACATAAAGAGGCACAAACGCAATTTTGTATAGCTGTAGGAGTAAGACATACCTACATTGCACCCCTATGCAGCGTACGAAACTTCTGCCATCCAGCTGTATGTACCATCCTGGATTCGGATATCGTTTGGTGAACATCCCACCTTGGGCAACACGATCACCGGCTTTCTGAACTGATATCTCATTACCTATCACCAGAAATGGCAATATTGACCCACTCAGGATCGGCTCCCATAGTGAGAACACGCTGGTGGTAAGGTCAAAGTGCCAGGTAAAAGTGGGGTCGAAAGTAAAGTCGAGAGGTTGATGCCTGGGGGCATGCCTGCCCTACCAAGAAGTTGCTATTACAGTGTCCCACATTCCCCAGCGCTCCATTTTCAACAGCTTTCCAGAGCTTGTGTGAGAAATCAGTGCCCATGACCCGGTTCGCATCTCGGAAGTCGATTGATGAGATTACCATCTTTTAAGAACTCGACCCCATTCCTTTACACCTAAGTACTGATTTATATCGCCCTTTTGGTATTGAATTAGCTCGAGCTCAAAACCCGGCTTCACACAATCCACTTTACGCCATTCTAGATTGGTCACCACAGCGCTTGGTATTGTGGTAAGTGCAGTTACCCTGAGAACTCCGCATATGGCACACACTTCCCTTTTTGGACACTATTACAACCATTCCGTATATTGTTCTAGGTTCACTTGTTTGTCGTTGATTTTTTATTTATTCTATAACAGGTTTCTATACAGCATGTAGTCATCTGTTTTGCATATGTTTCTCGTTTATATTCCTATTATGGAATTCTTAGCTATGTTTAATTATCCTCTAAATCCAAGTACTAGCTTGCATCGAATTAGGGAGGGGTAAATACATATACTTCCCGACTTCAATGCTAAGGGTCTGAAAAACAAAATTATAAAATTATTATCATGGGCGAATGAGAACCGAACCACAGACTGCTGAGGCACCTCCTTATTGGGTTGCCGAAATTAGTATAATCCGATTCGGTAAACAAACTTCTTTGTTGCCTTCAATGCAGAGTGGAACACGAAATTATAAAGCCCACCGTAAACTAGAACTTGAAGATGAGGTAGCTCATTGAATGAAACATCAACCCGATCCGGTCGTACAGACTAGTGGCAAAAAGATCAAAGACAGTAGCTATGTTATATTATATGCATGAGCTCAAATGGGTAACGAAGTGGCGAAGGACGCACACTTGATAAAAAATATAAGGAGGCAGATCATAACATTGTCTGGAAGATAAATGTGTTGTATATTTTTTGAGGGCGATACATGTCTGAGGCATCCTATTATGACAAAAACTGTATAGACATTTCATAAGAAGTGACTCCCTCCAGATGTGTTGAAGCAGCGACCTGCCCATTGGAAGGGTGATTTATATATCTCCGGGTACTGTAGCTGCTACAGCTATAGAAGGTAGCCTATTAGCAAATGCTACATATCTGGGATCCAAACAAAAGGCTTATGTGGTTAAGAAAAGATAATCTCGAGCCCAAGGTAGAGTTGGCAGCCTCTATACGGAGGTGCTTATATATGTTAGTCAGGTGTACGAAAGTTAAGCATAACATATTTTGCTACTCAATGGTTAGCATTTTGTGAAGCTAAAAGAAATTAATCACAATACTAATAGTGGCCATATCACTAACCCGTTGGCCCCATGGTTGAGTCTCGCCTTTCACCAATCGCCAGGTACTTCTTGCAACCGAATGATAGGGCCGAAGCTAGTGAGACCCAGTAGAAGAATAATAAAAAAACCTGCAAATAAGAAAGCAACAAAAAGCTGCCACGGTACTAGAAAGACTCGAACTTTCAACCTCCCGGTATATGCTAAACTCAGATCACAAGAATATTTAACAGCCGGACGCGCTAACCAATTGCGCCATAGAACCAGAGTTGATATCGTTTGTCCGATTGGCATATATATTCCCAAATGTGGGGTAATTCCTAACGATATTCTATAAGCTGAGGGTAAATGGTGTCCAAGGCATAGGTATGGACAGAATTTTCTCCTAAAACGCTGCTTACTGCTTTAAGTTTGATAAGTTGTCTGTGTCGCTTAGGAGGGTGTTGTGCCAACCAGACTATGTGTCGCTTAGTCTCGTGCCGTGTCGCTTGTTGGTTATAGAATCAAATATCTGTCGAGTAATCGAAACTCTATTTAGCACGTCACCAAGACTTTTCGTGAAGTGATTAGCTTTTTTGTTGTACTATAACAAGTGTTATCCCAACCAGACTAGTGTTATCCACCCTAGACTGGTTGCACTAGTCTGGTTGGTTGCACTACCCCCTCCGCTTAGTCTGCCAACCAGACTAACCTCCGCTAGAGAGCGTAGATAACTTTACTTCTTCTCCAAGCGACCTTCAGGTCTTAAAAAAATTAACCTCCAGTCCCTGGATTTCACTGTAGCTGCAAGGAACACCGCAAGTCTCTTGGATTCAAGCGACGGGGCATTTCTGATTCCACGCACTTTCACATCCTTCCTCATCCTGTTGGTGTGGCAGAAGCTGTGAACAGTCCGAGCTGCGAACTCCCGTATAGAGGGTATAGTGTCAGCGGAATTTAATAGTAAAGCACTGCACGCTTGCACGGTATGCCGAAATAATCCATGAGGCAAAACCCGGGACGGAGCTGACCTAAGTTTGATCTGATAGGGATTGGATATAGTATAGGGATCTAGATTACCAGAAATTTTTTATACCCTCAAGAATTCAAATATGATGGATAGCAAATATAGGCCCCTTAATTGGGAATATCCATCCCAACCTTTAAAGTTGTATGAATAGGTTGAGATAGACCTGACTCTACGAATTCCTCTTCTATTCGAATCTCTCGCTCTGCTCTGCACCTCTATTTCCGCAAATTTTGTAAGCAGTGAGGAAACCTACACACCTATAGACGGTTTAGTTCATAGGAGATTATTTATATTCGTCTAATTCCATTTCCATTTGTTAGTTCGCTATTGGCGACAGAATGGTGGCAGTAACCTAGATGCTTACGAATGCTACGGTAGAACTTAGGTAAGTAGGTATCACGATATCGAGTAGATCATGGGTAGATGCTTTCTGTACTCCTGCTGTGAGACGATTGAGTGTCAATTTCAAACGACAGAAATCTACATACTATAGGCTCTTGTGTATAGACCAGCTATCGAGTATCATAGCGATTTTCTCCTTTCCATATACAAATGAGAGTCGGAGAACAAGTAAAGTATGGTATTTTGAACGGTTTTTCGAACGCCGGATACTCCATCCTCATGGCTCGCCACGAAAAGTTATTTTACAGTTAACACTTGTTAGAGATTAAAAAACGCCTCTAAAACCCTAGCCTGGCTTGCTCTAAATCCCTTTGCCGGCTATGAAATGCAAGCATTCGGTGTTGGAGGAAATCGTACAATCCTAGTGAAGTCCTCCAGAGATTACCCAAACGGGGGTAACAGTTACCTTCTGTTGGAAAATAGAATCAAAACCTTGTGCTACGTAGGATCCATTTGTGCTGTATGTAGTAGAACCTGGGTTGATGGTGCATAGCCGAATGCATAATCACAACCACGTGGGGTTCATGTTGTGTCTAGCTCCTGATTCCATAACTTCTGAATGCAAAGCCTACGCGGCGAGCCGAGGAAGTCCCAGTTTCCATTGGTTGTGAAGGGACCAAAGTATTAGGTTGTGTGGAACAATGTTCTGGGTGATACCGGCCCCGCCTGCATGAACTTGGCCATGTATAGTATCCGTTACATATAGTCATGCGCATCCGTGATGCCACGCGAAGGGTGCTCAAAACCGTCGCTTAAGATAGTCTCGATCAGACCCGTGATTTTCACTATCCAAGGCTGTAGTAGCGAGGGAATTGTGCCAACCCAGACTAAGGCCGCAGCTGACATGCCTGTGTTTTTTGTTCGTGCGCTCTATTTAGAGATAGCTGGGCCTACTTTGATGAAAAGATATGAAACGGAATTTGTTGCCCTACAAGGTTTTTAAATGATCCACAACCCTAGAGCCAATGAGCTCAAGTCAGCTGAATCACAAGATCAATCAATAGCCAAATGGGTTATGTATAGTGATATTTCCAAAATAATCACATAAAAGCCCATCTATCTTCATTCAATTAATGGAAAATGGGTTATGTTTCCAAATGAATCACATAATTGTTGCTTCCCAAATGACCAACTCAAAATAAGGCCCCTTCGTAGGCCGAATGAGTCTACCAAATAAAATTGCTTTGGGGTTATGAACAAGCTTGCAGAACTTACTATCGAGTGCTTAGTTTCTAGGCCAGATGTTTTTGTGACCTGGTAGATGGAACTGTATAGAAGCTGCCGGTTTGATTAATAGTTCTTATGCTCTACCGGGCTGCCTTGTCTGAGAGTGCCCGGTCTGCATCTCTCATCCAAGTATCTGTAGCAATCATGTCTCAGTTGAGGAGATGAGCGAGTGACGTAGCTGCCATTCCCACCGGCTTGCCGCTTAGAATGTCGTTCTTTCGAATGCACTACGAATTTCCGTCTTATCGGTAACTACGTATAGTCATCGAACTGGGTTGCGAGCCTCCCCGCGTTCGCCTTACACCAAGCGGTAGTAAAGTAACTATGGCGTAGTACCGAAGATACCTACCGCCCTCGTGTGTGGTTAGTTTCATTGAAGAGTAAATTGTGCGTAGGAGTATGCACGAGCGGAGTAACAAAGTGAGTTAAGCTTTCAATTTTCCACAACATCCTCGCTTTGCATAGGCATGCATTTTCTAGCTCATTTCAGAGCTAATAAGGATCAGCCAATAGTGTATGGAATGGTTCCTCAAGTTGCCAGTCTTCAATTCGCGTGTTAGCATGTTCATCATCGGGCCAACCCTTGCTAAATGGATGTCTCGTGGAACACGTAGAGCGTCCAATGGGGTGAAAAAGTAGTATTTGCATCTATCACAAATATGCCTCGCCACACTAGGCGTGCCCCAAAAGGGAACCTGGGCACTTCACTTGCTATCTCTGATTTCACTTACACACTTCGGGGCTACCTACCTCTGAATCTTCAGATTGAAGTCTGGTTCTGGTTGTAGAGAAATTCCCTCCTGGGAGGGGCTAGTGCAAGCCAGACTAGAGAAATTCGTAGCTCCAGCTTTTCTTTGATCCATGACTAGTAGTGGTGGTATAGCTACCTTACTTACAAGGTGCTTGGTAGCTACTTGACTAGCGGCTCTGTACTAGGTGCGCTACGTATTTGAGCAGGTCTCTGAATATAAATGGCCAAAGGCCAAAGAATGCCTAAACTAACTTAAAGGAACTGGGTGTGAACGGGCTGGTATTAGGTGTGCAGGAAGCACGGCCGATGGTATGCACTCCCTGGGGTTCTGCATCTTAACACTAATCCGTGCATACAGGTCGACATATGCTGGCCTACCGTACCCTGCATCAACGCCAGGCATCGAACCCATCTGAATCTAGCCTTGTAGCTAGCTACCCGGTTCGGGGGTGTGTAGGGTCAGACTGCTCGAAAGCACCAATTGCAAACTCTTCTTGTCATGGGAATCCTAGTTTTTCCGTTGGCTATACCATAGGTAAGCCAAATGAACGATGGAAGACTCGGAATGCATCAATAAATTGCTGTCCCGAGTAAGATCTTATTCTCGTACCCAATCATAAGGGACCCTGGCAGAGAATAGAATTATTCGAAATGAAAGTTGTGACCAAGCCTCACCAATGTCTAATTTATTGAGCCCTAGCATCCATATTTCCACAGGAAAGTTGGACCGGTCATAGGATGAGCTAGTCAGGTTGGTTTTTAGCTTACATCTTCTCACGAGAACAGGCGCGATTTTTTCCGTTCCACAAGATATACACTCTTCTCAACCAGTCTACCCTATTCCTACTCTTTTTTTCTTCACTTCCATATATAACATTTCCGCACGGCTCATTTCTCGGTCAAGGTGAAAGCATGGGGTTCATATGCAAAAGGCTAGAACGGATCATAAGAAGTACCTAGCGTTGCTAAAGACTGGCAGGTTATCCTCCACCATACCTACACTCCACGTGCAATAGTGAACGTAGTCTGGCTTGTTAGTGAACGGCAGGCCACTTTGAAACCAAATAGAGTTCTTATTGGAACCAATCGATGTGTGCCTAACTAGGCTTGAGATCTGCATGATCGTAAAATCATCGATGGTAAGACTGAACCTTCCCACTTGCTGGGCTTAGCTTGTATTCTCGATTATGGTTCCCTAAGACCCAGGCATGAAACCATCCTGAAATGGCAAGCAGGACTACTGATATGGTACTAGTACAGCTGCACAGTATTATCGTGACGAAAGCGGGCTGCAACCCAGACGCACTGCGAGAATCTCTGATATGCCCCGCCCTAGTCTGGTTGGCCCCGCCCTTCAATTCACGAACGAGTGGCAGATAAAATCCTAAGATTGGGCTGAGGATAAGGTAGTCTGAAGATAAGGCGGGCACAACTTGTTCCCGTGCCCTGATTCTTATTTTGCGATGAGATGTCCCTAAATTAAAAGCCGGCCACAATATAAACCAAAATAATCTATACCTGTACCTACGTCGATCGCTATTCGTGCTGCAGTCTTCAAAGAGGCTATTTGTGGAACGCCGTCCAAAAGACTTAGATCAATTTTAGACCCGGGCAAACTTAACAGGTTCTGTGGGAGGAGAGAATACGACGGTACATAGCACATTATTGTGCCAACCAGACTAGGCGAGATGTGTAAAACGCGTATCCCCATGGGCACGAGACTATGTAATCCCCATGTCCAGGAGATAATCGCTTGCGAAGTGGGTCCTAGTCGGAACATACGGTTCGACTTCACCACGTGCACTCGTTTATATTATATCTCCTGTCGTTTTAGATGAGGTGAAGGAAAAAGCTAGAATCAGCTCAGAATCAGATT